ATATATCATTCCGTGTCTCGTTGGTTCCAGCTACAGCTACAGCAGCAGCAGCAGCAGCAGCAGCAGCAGCACGACCTGCTCCGGTCTCAGACAGCAGCAGATGCGCTGCCAGGACTTCTCAGGTGTACGCACACCGGCGTGACACTGTTTAGTAGCATCGGGAGAAACACAAAGTGCACAAACTGCTGCTGCAGGACGCAGCTGCTGCAGCAGCAGCAGCAGACGCCCGGTGGCCAGCTGCCACCGTAGCAGCAGCAGCAACAGCAGCAGCAGCAACAGCAGCAGCAGAGGGAACCTCTAGTTCCTGTAGCTGTCTAGAGCTATGTTAACAGCGTCATAACGCGGAGAGTAGACTCAGCAGCAACAGCAGCGTGAACACTCGCAGCAGCAGCAACGGTAGCAGCTGCAGCAGCAACAGCGGCAACAGCAGCAGCAGCAGCAGCAGCACCAGCAGACAGGAGATGGGCCTCTTGCAGCTCAACCGCTGCAGTCTGCACATCACACAAGAGGGCCCCGTATTACCTGGTAAGCAGCAGGAGCTGCACGAGCAGCCGCAACAGCAGCAGCAACGGGAGCAGCAGCAGCAGCAGCAGCAACGAGGATAACAGCAGCAGCAACAGCAGCAGCAGCAGCAGCAGCAGCGCAAGGGAAAATGAGAGGCTCGGATTCTCCTTCGCCAAGGCCCCACCAGCCTCGTTATGCAGCAGCAGCTGCAGCACAAGCCACACCAGCAGCGACAACAGCAGCAGCAGCAGCAGCAGCACTTGCTGCTGAGAGCAGCAGCGCTATTGAAATTGAATCCCTCAGACGCATTGGGGACTTTCTGCATCTTGTAGAGGAGCAGCACCTCATGCAGCAGCAGCAGCAGCAGCAGCAGCAGCAGCAGCAGCATGGGGCTGTTCTTACGTCCGTACAGTCTGACAGTACCAGAGGCCTGCAGCTACAGCAGCAGCAACAGCAGCAGCAGCAGCAACAACAGCAGCAGCAACAGCAGCTTCTTCTTCCTGCTCTGAGGGATCTCTTGTTCGACCTGAAGGCATTGTGTGATCGTGCCGAATCCCGTTACGGCAGCAGCTGCAGCAGCAGCGGCAGCAGCAGCAGCAGCAGCTGCTGCAGCTGGGACAGCAGCAGTAGCAGCAGCAGCAGCAGCAGCTATCCCGTTAATGACGTTGGCAGGGGCGTCAACGCGCTGAGGAGCAACGAAGGCGCTGCGTCAGCAGCACCGGCACGAACGTCAGCAGCAGCAGCAGCAGCAGCAACAGCTGCAGCAGCTGCAGCAGCAGGTCCTTCTGTGCGCTCTGCTATCGAAGAGCTGCTGGGGTCCAGGGGGGCCCTGGGTACAGTTGAGCAGAGGGGGCTGCTGCGTTCCCTCCTCAGCAGTGAGGGGCCCCCCATAGCGCCCAGCGAGATGCAGCAGGATGGGTGTGCTGCTGCTGCTGCTGCTGCTGTTGCTGCTGCTGCTGCTGCTGGATCTCCCGCTGCTGCCCCTTGCTGCAACAGCAAGCACCTTGATACCTGCGTCAGTCCGCTCCCCCCATCATCGCCCGCGGCTGCTGCTGGCTCTCCGGTTGCTGCTGCTGGCTCTCCTGCTGCTGCAGCTGCTGCTGCTGCTGTTGCTGCTGCTAGCACTCCATCTATGCCGTCTGGC